GTTCGCGATTCAGTATCACCCGGGGAAGGCGAACGTCGTAGCAGATGCCTTAAGCAGGAAGCGTCGACATCGGGTTTTAGCTTTGAGGTGTTCATTACATCGGGATCTTATCACTCTTAGCCAGTTTGATTTTAGACCCGAGATTAGAAGAACCAGTGCATTTTTAGGAGCTGTGTCAGTGCAGCCATCTTAGAGTGACAGAGTTGTCAGAGCTCAGTTGGGAAACTCTTGGATTTAGATCCGAAAGGAGGAGATTTCCAAGGAGCCTATGACTGATTGGATCATTGGAACAGATGGAGGTCTCCGGATGAAGGGTAGGCTAGTCATGCTGGCCAGTGCCGAGCTGAAGAGAGAGTTACTTGATGAAGCTCATCGTACTCGGTATACAGTACATCCAAGGACTACTAAGATGTACAAGTACCTAGAGAGACACGTTTGGTGGAGTGGTATGCGAAGAGAGATTTCAGAGTATATGACTAAGTGTTTTACCTGTCAGCAGGTGAAGGCAGAGCATCAGAGACTGGCAGGAATACTTCAATCTTTACCCATTCCAGAGTGGAAGTGGGCAGACATTGCTATGGACTTCATTGTAGGGTTACCGAAGTCGAAGAAGGGAAATGATTCAGTTTGGGTGAATGTGGACCGGTTGACGAAGTCGGCACATTTCATTCCAATGAGGACTACCTATACCGTCGAGGCATATGCGAGGATATTTATCCGGGAGATAGTTCGACTTCATGGAATTCCAGACATGATTTTATCGGATTGAGGTTCGGTGTTCACTTCACACTTTTGGAGGAGTTTTCAGGACTCTTTTGGAAGTAGATTATCTTTCAGCAGTGTTTTCCACCAACAGACGGATGGTCAGACAGAGAGAGTAAATCAGGTGTTGGAAGACATGTTACGGGCTTGTATCATTGACTTTCAAGGCAGTTGGGAGGATCACATTCCATTGATAGAATTCGCTTATAACAACAGTTATCGGGAGGATCACATTCCATTGATAGAATTCGCTTATAACAACAGTTATCAAGCGACAATCGGTATGGCTCTGTATGAGGTATTGTACGGGAGACCATGTAGATCACCGATATGTTGGGCAGAGCCGAAGGGTAATTGATGCTTGGACCGGAGCTGGTGATGCAAACTACCGAGAAGGTAGCACTGATCAGGGAGCGAATTCTAGTCGCTCAGAGTCGGCAGAAGAGCTATGCAGATAAGAGGCGAAGATCCTTGGAGTTTCAGGTTGGGGACTCAGTTATGTTGAAGGTATCGCCTATGAAAGGCGTGCAACGATTCAGATGACGGGGGAAGCTTACGCCGAGATATATTGGACCATTCCGGATTTTGGAGCGCATTGGAGTTGGGTCATATAGACTAGATCTTCCAATATCGATGTCTAGTATACATAATGTATTTCATGTTTCTATGCTCAAGAAACACTTACATGATGAGGAGCAGCAATGAGTATTGGATGCACCCGAGATTGAGCTTCAGGAGGATTTGACTACTGTTGAGATTTTGGTTCGTATTCTTGCTAGAGAGGACAAGAGACTTAGAAACATGGTAATTCCCTTGGTGAAAGTTCAGTGGAACCGATGAGGCATTGATGAGATTTCTTGGGAGCGCGAAGAGGATTTGCGTCGCGACTACCCACACATGTTTGAACAGGTAAATTAATTTTTTTTTATGATGTGTATCTTGTATGATGTTTATATCTTTGGTTATATTTACATTTAACACTAGAATGGGAATATTCGCGCTTAATTCTTAATCTTTCGGAACACATGGTATATATATGAGGGGGTTCTTTGTTTGGATTTTTCACCCGATGTACTAGTTTCCACTAGATTAGGGTTTGAGCGGGAATATTACCATTTTAGATCGTTAAATATAAATATCTCCATATGTTTATCTGGAAGTTCATGTTGTGAGATGCGTATGGTTTCCGAATTTCGATGACGAAATTCTTCTAAGGGGGGAGAATGTAGAACCCCGTAAATTTTTATATGAATATATGTGAATTATTAGTAAATAAATAATTCTTTTATGATAAATAGCTTGAGGTCATTGATATACATGATAATAAGTTATTTGAGATGATATGAGAGTTTGGGTGTAGAGTTTTGTGCGTTGGTTTTGCAAATTAGCAAAACATGCACAAAAAACTGAATTTTTCCAGATCAGTCGACACATCAGTCGACTGACTGTATCGGTCGACACATCAGTCGACTGATACGCTGATTTCCAGTTTTTACAGGTTTCGGGTATGTTTTGATTTGGTTCGGGTTTAGGTCGGGTTTAACTATTCATATATATTCTACTTCACCCGAAATCATCTCCTCTCATCTTCAGATCAGAGAAAACCCTAGCCCCTCTCTCCTAACTCAAACCCTAGCTTTGTTCTTAGTGATTTGGGGAAGAACTTGGAAGATTTTCGGCAAAATCTTCACGTTGCAGCGAAGGGGAACCACTCTCTCTTAGATCCAGGAATTTCTCATCACCCCAGAGGCGAGTAACATCTCGTCCAACCTTGTTCCTATTTTCTAAACGTTTTCAAATGATTTTTATGAGTTTTGATGAGCCAAAAATGATATTTTTGTACAAAGGATTGATTTTTATAGCATATAGAGGGAAGATATGTTAGTTCATAATGTTTAAAAACTCACTAACGTTTTGTGAATCATAGATCTAGATCTGAAATATTTTTATAAGAGATTTAACATGAGTTTTGTTTTAAAAATATTTTAAAACATAAATACACATGTTTAGGGTTTTTGTTTATGTATTTGTACATGAAAGTTATGTATTTTAAAACATAAATACACATGTTTAGGGTTTTTGTTTATGTATTTGTACATGAAAGTTATGTTTCAATTTAGTTCATACATGTTAATAGCAGTATCTTTATGCTCGGGATTAATGGGGATGCATTTAGATCGAATTTTGGGTAAATAACAACCTGTGCAGAGTTTCTGCAGTCTATCGGTCGACTGATCAGTCGACCGACGGGCAAATTTTCAGTCATCAGTCGACTGATCAGTCGACTGACGGGCTGATTATGTTTTCTAAAATTCTTAGTCGACTGATCAGTCGACTGGTGGGCTGAGGCTATGCTTCCTGAGCCTTATCGGTCGACATATGAGTTGACTGACGTCATCAGTCGACACATCAGTCGACTGATGAGATGTTTTACAGATTCTTGATTTGTTTGAGTTGCTTTTCGGGGTCGCCTCAATAACCTGACCCTAGTTTACCATGTTAATGATTTATCTGTACATGTGGGTTGACTTTTGACACAAGTTTAGACATGTACACCGAGACGCGTGCGAGTTTTGATCTTGTATATCTTTCCGCATATATTTTTCACAGTTGCACAGTCCTCGTGTTGGACTATAACGTATATTTAGTCCTCGTGTAGGACACTCATTCCTTTTAGTCCTCGTGTTGGACTATGATTTATAGAAGTCATCGTGTTGGACTATGATTTATAGAAGTCCTCGTGTTGGACTATGAATTATAGAAGTCCTCGTTTTGGACTATGAATTATAGAAGTCCTCGTGTTGGACTATGATCTATAGAAGTCATCATGTTGGACTATGATCCATCTCAGTCCTCGTGTTGGACATTTGCCACATGTTCCATGTGTTTGGAAACCACTGTATCTAGTTCATGTATCAGACATATTTCTTAACCCTGTATATGACTTTCTCACAGGAGTTATGACAAGACACTTATGTAGATTATGACATGATAATCATGTAAGTTATGACATGATACTCATGTAGGCTATGACATGACACTGTAGTTATGTTCCGTGATGAGTTGTGTTTTCTTTTATTATTGTTCCTATACTAGAACCTCGGGTTTGGTGTTTAGGGATTTACAATTTGAGATACAAGGTATATACATGAGGGTTTCCTTGTTTGGATTATTTCGCTCGACGTACCTATGCTCGTGTTGTAAATTTCTAAATACTAAAATCCTCTTTAGTAAGATCAATGATTTTAGATCTATTATGTATTATTTGTATTTTCTTATACAACAAGCCCTGTTCCCTTGGGGTTGGTTGTGATGTTGCTCGCTAGCGCTTTGACGCTCGTTGTCCCTCCCCCTTTCAGGTAATGAGCCAGGAGCCCGGAGAGTCGCAGGTTGATGGCGAGGTATTTTAGCTTCAGCTGTCTACTTAGTTATATTTTCTTTTGGAGTTCCACAGTAGACTTTTGTTTAGGCATTTGAGAGTCTTATTCTAGAAGTTGTAAATGGAGTGTGCCTTATTTCCTCTTGTCAGATATTTGTATTTTGAGACTTGTTGAGTATTCCAGTTTATCTATTCAGACATTGACTCTGTATTTCTGTATGTTGGATGATGAGATATTAATGTGATCACTATCATTTCATTAGTTATTTCTTGTATTATCTTTTACCTGCTTTTGTACCTACACCTGTTGTTGACTCTACTAGGTAGATGTTAATTGTGATGGTGAAACATGTTATTGCACGGCGTGGTGCATGGCAGGTTTGACATTCTTGGTTTCACCTTGGACTGCAGCCTTGAGTGAACCCAGGGGGCGCGGGTCCGGTTCGGGCACCGATGAAGCGGCCTGGGCCCGGAGCCCGATTAAGCCCATATTTTTGGGCCATGCCCGGGCCCCAAAAGCCCGGCCGGGTCTGGTCCGGACATTGGGTCGGCCCCGGGTCTTGGGCCCAAATGGACATGCTAACTATAATTATACAAGCATAACTTTTGTACTAACATGTTTTTTGGCTACTATCAATTGGTAAATATTTTTGTAGCAGACTGAGATTAGTAATATTTTCTTTATGTTTCACATCTATTAGTAATAAGAAAGTTAAAAACATAAAAAAAAAAGTAAAAAGTAAGGGTTCAATTTGCTCTTTGGGTCTGAAATAGACTTGGCGGTGGGTGGGTTTTAAAACTAGTGAGGGTATACCTTTGGGTATGTAAATAAAAAACCCAAAAAACGAAAAAGATGAAAATTGGGAAAGGAAAAGGGAGGAAGACGTGATTTAAGTAATGCTTTCGATTGGATCAAAGCCTTTGGGTGGGCTCTGATCAAGATCATGACCTGTCCTCCTCCCTAGGGGATAAAAATCCCATCTTTGTCCAAACCCTAGATTTGCAATCTCTCTCTATTGCTCCTAAATATCTATCTTTGGTATCCGATTGCTTAATGTTGCGCGATCTATTTATCTAGTTTTGGGCAATTAGGGTTTGGGTTTGAAATTGGGGGAGTTGGGGGTTTCTGATAATGGAGCCTCGCGTGGGGAACAAGTTCAGGCTCGGTCGTAAGATCGGCAGTGGATCCTTCGGGGAGATCTATTTAGGTTCGTCGTCTGATTTTTGAAAAGATCAGATTTTGATTAAGTTGGGGTTTTTATATGATCGATTTTTTTAATTTTTTTTTGGTCCAGGTACTAATATTCAGACTAATGAGGAAGTGGCCATTAAGCTGGTAAGTGTTGGTTTTTAGATTTTAGAATTCAATTTGTAATTAGTAGAATTGATGAGCTCTTTATTGTACTATATTTATCTGGGAAAGTTGCTTACTTTGGCAAAGTTGCTTTCTTTGTTAAATTTTTCTATCATTTATTGTTGAATTGATAATAGAGCTTGCTTGTTCGACTGCAGGGGTCCAAAAGAAATTTAGCTGCTTTCTTTCAATCTTTTTGAGTTTGTTATCTATCCATGGAAATAATTTATATATACTGTTTAGCAACTGGAGAATGAAGAGGGGAAATATATATACTCAGAGAACAAAGCATCATGTTAGTGTGTTGTTTTGCAGTATTCCGGATGTCTAATATAATTAGCTTTTGCTACTGGATCATAACCTTGCAGAACCCGAAACTGTGGTCCTCCCTAAATCTTTGGTCCTTTCTTGTGACGCAGATAAGTGAGATTGACACATTAAATACTTCATTCAGGCATTATCCCAGCAATAATATAAACAACTTGCATGAGATATGTCGTATATGTGATTGATTATGTGGGCTCTGAGGAGAAAAATATATTCTCTTAAAATATCTACATTTTTTTTAGAATATTCATGAAGTTAGACGTTGCTATTGCTGCAAGACGGAAGTCTAGCCTACTACTGGAGTTTTAAGCACATGTATACTTGACTTCTAGTATTTGCTAATTGCTAGAATCCCTACTATTGGAAGAAAAAAAAGAGTTTGCCTATTATTCTCGAGCTTTTAGTGGAACAGAGGAAGGATGATTCATGTGCATATGCAATAATCTACACATGTAGATAATGCAGCCGATAAGAGTGATCTCAATAGTTAAATGATTGCTTAGTTTCTCATGGCTTTGATGCTAATTTGATATATAGATCCAAATCATTTTTTTTAAGCTGAAGATGAGTGCATCAATGCACATCTTTGTGTCCAGATCAGTATATTACATAACTTCTCGTGCTCGGCTAGGACTGAAGTTATATACAGTCAAAATTTGCTTTGTGACTTCATGTTGGGTGATTGTCTACGGGATGGAAGTAGCAAACAGTCCTTTCATTTATATTCTAGTTGTAACTTTTAGTTCTATGCCCTTTCAAGTTCTACTTTTATTTCACAAAATTACATGCTAAACTTGTGTTTCATATTCTTATCACCACAAGTTACATTTTGATTCTCCACGGGTGTGTCCTTGTCTATGTCACCTGGGTACTTCTGATCTGAAGCCGCACCCGTACCTGTACCCAAACTCCTTATACACTCCCTTGCATGAATTCATGCATTTATTTGGGCGTGTACTCAATTATACAATACACATTTTGATTTAAAACCCCTGTTGTACATTTTTTTGGACATATATCCTGCACTTCACACCCACTTCTTGAAACTCGTTGAACATAAGTGAGCTTCCAAATTACGATTTTGATGGGTCGTTTGGATGTCTAGTTCAAAAACTAGTATTTTCTAATTTTTAATCCCATAATAAAAGAAACATAAAATTGTTATAGGACTTTCAGTTCTCATCCTTGTTCTCATATAAATATAAATACTTATGTAGCCGTGTCCCCGTACCCTACCTTTTACAAAGTTGCCTTGTCCCGTAACCGTACCCATACCGGCACCCGTACACATACCTGTACCCATTCAACAGAGGTCCTTGTCCCCTTATCCCAATTAGTATAGTGGAATTTTGGTGAACAGTTCTTTTGTTTTATACAGTTAAAGTGGATAGCTAATAGATGAGCTTTTGCATGCGTGGATCTGTTTACAAGGCTTATAAAAAAGAGACTCTGTTGGCCATGGTTCTTGTGGTTAAAAGATTTGCAAAAAGAATCTATGTTGACTGTGGGTTACAAAATTTCATCAGAAATCCATGGAGCGTTCTCACAATAGAGTGAGTTGAATAAGTAACTCCAGTATCATGAGAAAACATGTAGATGATGATGATGGTGTCAGAACCAAAAAAAAAAAAAGACTTTTGGAAGAAACAATAGTGTATATTGCACATTATTAGTAGGAGAATGATGAAGTCGTTATGTGGGGTTAAGAGGTGTTAGTGTTAGATGTCGGGGAGGGGATTAGGAGTTACGTGTTACCAAGTGAGGAAAGACATTATATATACAAGCATAAATCTGTTCCACTAAGTGAAGTAGAAGAATTTGCCTAGGCCGTGTTTACAGAAGATTGCATCGTATTTCCTATTGGCAGCTGGTTAGAAACAATGAATAAATAATAAGTTGGCAATATATTCTGTTGGTTTTGCTTGTTGGTTATGGTTTTATTGGTTTAAAAGTGTTTTGCTGATTTTGTTATTTACATAATGTTCTCCTCATTTTTCATTTGTTTTACTTGAATGGTATATCTTTATTCTGTGCCTATGTCTGTGAGAAGATCCCTTGCCTGCACTCTGATGGCCTACCTACATGTTATTTCTTCCTTTTCAGGAAAATGTGAAGACCAAGCATCCTCAATTGCTATACGAGTCAAAGCTCTATAGAATTTTACAAGGAGGAAGTAATGAGAAGTGTTGATTTCATCTTTGTTGTAATTCGCTTTTAAAAAATATTTTTACTATTAATTTGACACTCTTTTTTCTCTTTCCCCATTCTGATTTTGGCAGCTGGAATCCCTAATGTAAGATGGTTTGGTGTTGAGGGTGATTATAATGTTCTGGTTATGGATTTATTGGGACCAAGTCTTGAAGATCTGTTTAACTTCTGCAGTAGAAAACTCTCTTTGAAGTCTGTTCTCATGCTTGCTGATCAAATGGTATACTCTAGCTAGTGATACATCAATGATTTTTTATTACTTTTGGAAGTGTTTAATCCATCTTAACAATGTTTTAGATTAATCGAGTTGAATTTGTCCATTCAAAATCTTTCCTGCATCGAGATATCAAACCTGATAATTTTCTTATGGGTTTGGGAAGGCGGGCTAATCAGGTGTGTTATTAAAGTTAGACGTACTTCATTACTCTTTATGTTTCCTACCATGCATTTAGCTACTAAGTTTTTCTTGCATCCTCCAGGTGTATATTATTGACTTTGGTCTGGCCAAGAAGTATAGGGATACTTCAACTCATCAGCATATTCCATATAGGTAAGATATGGTAGGTACACGACTCATTTTTTGTATTCTTTAAATTGATACTTGTCTCTGAAGATCTTCATTTTCTTATTGTTAATTTTCTACAAGTTCCATGTTTGATTCAAAAGCAAAATTCACTATTGACCATGTGCTATTTCTGACTTAGTTGCAGTATGGTTCTATAGTTGATTAATTCTTATCCCTTACAATCAATGATTGATGTGGACTTATTAGGATGTAGTTTGATGTCATATAATTTGCTATTGATGTGCGTCAGGCAATGAAATTGAACATTATGTGATTTCCATAATAAAAAGCCATAGAGAAACATTAAAAAAATTACTTAGATTTGGAAGGTAAAAACAAAATGTATGGAATCAGTGTATAATGCATATTGATGGAAACTAAACACTCATTTCTTAGTGTATTATCAGCCATCTATACCGTTGGAGAAATAGTGATGTTCATAGAACAAATCATGATAGTCAAAATGGAGAAATACTTTGTTCCTTTGAGCGCTCAACTTGTAGTACAATGAACATGACTGTGTCTAGCCAAGTTTATAAAGAAGTTGAGCTAGCGAGGGATAACATTTTCTAAACGTTGATCATGGATGGTGGTTATGTTGAGATGGTGAGTGGATAATGATACCAAAATACATGATAAAAAATGTGCAATCATAAGAGCTGGTTGCTTAAGTTGAGGATAATCTTGTTAGTAATGGTTTAGACTTAAGATCAATGTTTGAAAAAACTTTTCTTAAACTCGCTTTACAATTTTTTGAAGGATGAAATGCTTTGAAACTATAAATGGAACCTATTTATCTGTTAAAACATTCGCCTCGCCGCTTAACTTAAGCATAACTGAAGTGTGTGGTTCATGCTCCATAAAGCGCTTCTCTTTGAAGTACACGCTTTAGACAAAGATAGGAAGACATAAACAGATTTTTGACTGAAATTACAATGTTCTTATGTATCTTCAATATTACCATGTGACTATAAATAAAATGTACATCTTATATGTTTAGCTTAGTTAATTATGATTTGCGTCTATACTTTGCATATTTAATTCTTACTAATCAGAACATGAATGTATCTATTTGTTAATTATTATACCACTATATATTGTATGTTAATAATATTAATAATTTTTAAAATTAAAATATACTTAATCCATGTGGCTTACACCTCACCCTTTGAAGCTTACGCCTTGCTTCATAAAAGGATCTATTAAAATATCCACTTATTCAATATCCACTTATTCACAAACATGTGAATAGATACATTCATGTATTTATTTTAATACATATACTTAATTCATGAGGCTTACGCCTCACCCTTTAATTCTTACTTACTAATCAGAACATTGGTTGAGATGGTTAAAACAAATGAGTGGATATTGATGAACGTGCCAATCAGGAGTGGTAATTGAGGAGCATTTAGGACTAAGGGCGACCTAAATGAACAATATAAAAGATATGATGCTTGTTAATTTAGTAGAGGGGAAAAAAATCAAAGAAGAAAAGTGATGTAAGTTTATTCATTCTAATCGGGAGAAAGGCTCTGTTGTTGTTGTAACTAATAGAGTTGCTAAGATTTCACTTAGAAAAGATCCAAGTTTTATGCATATAAAAGGTATAAGCAGTTCGCAAATCAATGTTTGCCAGATGATAATTGTCCTTGTAATTTTGAGTAATACAGAGTATGCTGCTTTGTTATGTTGCTAGTGTCTGCTAATAACATATCATTCTGTAACATTTTGAGTCCATGAAATTGACAAGGGCCAGAAGTGAAAAAGCTTTCGGGGAAAGTGTACCAGAAGCATAGAGAGGAGTTAAGAAGTTGGTGATGGTTGTGAATAAGATATGAGATGCAGATGGATCATGGACAATTGTAAACCAGATTCGAGAGCAGAAATAAAAAGACAATGTTATGCTTGTAAACTTACCTTATTAGTTTAAGCGGGAGGATAACACGTATTTGTGCTATTTACGTTAGATTGTATGATTGATAATGAGAAAATTTCATGGCACTGCGTTGGATCCAAAGTTAATCACAAGCTAATGGTAGTGTTGACAATCTTTCTTGAGCATAGCTGATGGGTTGGCAGTTGTCTGGGACATCTTTAAATTAGGGGATTGAGCACAATAAGAACTCGACGAGGTAGTATGGGAGGTAACTTATTCACAAACAGAAAGTTTATGGTTGAATAGGTCCTTAGGTTGACTTAGTCTAACTACTGTCAGCATTACAAGTATGCCTGTTGCCTTATTGGGAATTATTGCAGAAGTCTCCAGATATATTCCAACCTGAAGTTGGTAACTTTAGGTTACGTTTGGCAACTTCGCAAAACTTGCATCTCCAACCCATCGCACCAAAATGGTGCAAATTTTGCACCAAAATGGTACAAAAGTCACATCTAACAGTAATTCATCTCTAACATATTATACCATTTTTTGCACCAAAATAGAATATTCTTAGTATATTCTTTTTTATCTACTTTTATATTATTATTTTTTATTCCCTATATTTTTAACTATTTCAACAATTAATCCCACATCAAATTTTATTTTTTCACATATTTTTCAAACAAATGATTTATTATTTAAAAAACTAAACTAATAAAACAATAAAATATTATTTTATTAATTAAAATAACTTGATTGCTAAAATATTATATTTTTATTATTGATATTGTTAAAATATTACATTTAAGAACACAACAGAAAATAAAATACAAGAAAATAATTAAACATTAACAACAATGTAAAAATTACAAATTTAATATGCACTTAACTATCTGAAATAGTGTATTCCTCCCATAAATGATCTATCAATGCATTACGAAGCGCAATATAGGCATCTTTATCCTTGATTTGTCCGTAACGTGTAATAAATTGAGTAAATCTTGTAGTTTCATCTGCTACAATATCAACTTCTGGTGTTGGTACTTCTCTCACTTTTTGAATTGGTGCATAAAGGTCACGTTCATCCTTGATTATCATATTGTGCATAATAATGCATGCAGTCATTATGTCATGTAATACATATTTTTTTCAAAAACGTGCTGATCCTGTCACAATTGCAAATCGTGATTGGAGAACTCCGAACGCACGTTCTACATATTTTCTACATGCTTCCTGTTTTATGACAAAATATTTTTTCTTCCTACCTTGTGGCTGTTGGATTGTTTGTACAATAGTAGCCCATTTTGGATATATACCATCAGATAAATAATAACCCATATTATACTCTTTTTTTTGAATAACATAGTGAGCGGGAGGAGCAATACCTTGAGCTAGATTAGAGAAAAGATTAGATGATTTCAGCACATTGATATCATTATTGGTGCCTAACATACCAAAATATGCGTGTCATATCCAAAGATCATAATCTATCACAGCTTCAAGGATAATAGTTGGTGACCCACTACGTCCTGCGTATTGTCCAGACCATGTCGTTGGATAATTTATTCATTTTTAATGCATACAATCAAGACTTCCTAACATTCCTGAAAATCCACGTTTTTTTACCAATATAGAGTAGCCTAGCAATATCGTTAGCGTTAGGTGTTTGTAGATACCGTTCTGCGAATATCTCCACCATAGCACGATAAAATTGTCATACTTTCAATTGCTGTTGACTCACATATTTTAACGTATTCGTCCGTAGCATCAGCTGGTAGACCGTATGCCAACATGCGGAAAGCAACTGTTACTTTATGTAACGGTGATAATCCCATTCTACCAAGTCCATCACTTCCTTGTTAGAAGTAATAGTCATGATCTTTCACTGCATCAACAATACGAAAGAACAAACTTCTTGACATCCGATATCGATGACGAAACATATCTTCTCCAAAACGTGGATTATCGGCAAAGTAATCTATGATCAAATTCTGATGCGCAGTTTCTCAATCGCGGTTGATCACTGCATGATCGGGAATCGAGCCACCATGGATCGATTGGTAGTTTTGTTGACGTAAATTGTTAGCGAGGATCATGTTGTTGATGTATTCACAAATTACTTCTTCGGTTTCATCAATCTTTTTAATGATATTGGACAGAAAATTATCATCATCCGAAGATGAAGATGATAAATATGATGGACCTCCAGCATCGAAATTTATTCTTAAAGTAAGAAAAGAATGACTGAAGTATGCAGAAATGAAGAATAATAATTTTAACAAAACAACGAATAATTGTGTGGATGTACCTAATCTAGTATGCTATTTATAAAACTTTGCTTAGTTGTATACGTTGAACAATGTGTAAACTTTGCTTAGCTGTTATTAAATTGTCACAAATTCAAATTTGCTTAGCTGTGTATACGTTGGACAATGTGTAAAGCTGATCAGTTTTTAAAAAATAATTCCCACCGACAATGTTGGACAATGTGTAAAGCTGATCAGATTTTTAAAAAATGATTCCTACCGATAATGTTGGATAATGTGTAAAGCTGATCAATTTTAAAAAAATGATTCCCACCGACAACGCTGGATAATGTGTAAAGTTGATCGGTTTTTAAAAAGTGATTCCGACCGATAACGTTGGACAATGTGTAAAGCTGATCAGTTTGTACACAACGATTCAATTTCAAATGTTGACCACCGACAAATTCAAATTCAAATTCAAACAAATTTGGATTGGCTATAAATAACATTCACGAATTCTACTTCAAACCACCCAATTCGAAGTATTTCTTTGAAGTATTTCTAATCTCCAAACCAACCGCTTTTTACAAAAAAAATGTTTGTTCGATCATCTGGATACACGGTTACTGAAGATGTGCTCTTTTGTCAAGTATTCTTGGATATTTTTTAAGACCCTATTATCGGTAGAAACCAGTCTCGCCAGTCTCGAGATGCATTTTGGTCTCGTGTGGAGGACAGATACAATGAACTTCGAGATCAGCATATTGAGGTGCGTACGAGCCGATCAATTAGTTCTCGAATGGAAATCATAAGTAATGAAGTAAGAAAATTGAATGCGTGCTTGAGACAAGTAGAGAATCTGAATCCAAGTGGTGCTTCAGATGAAGATATTATAAGTATTCTATTAATTATCTTTTGAAATTTAGTATTATTATTGAAATACATAACTTGATGTTCACTATAATTTGCAGTTAGCTCGAGCAAAGATGTTATTTATGCAAGAACCAAAGTACAAAAAAGTTTCAAATTTGATCATGTCTGGAATATGGTTAAAAATTTTGAAAAATTTAAAGATGATGTCCGAATATGGTTAAAAATTTTGAAAAATTTAAAGATGATGTCCCCACAGCAAGACAAGTTGGTCGAAGACAACCCCAAAGTGTGAACTTCGACTCGTCACAATCAGATAATCCCACTCCGGAATCTCCTATATTAACATCTCCTGGACTGTTATCATTTACTCCATCTGAACGACCTATTTGGGTTAAAAAAGCCAAATTGAAAAGAAAAAATGATGATCATGAATCAAGTGTAGTGGACTCCATCGCTACAAATAACAACCGACTTATAGATAGGTTAGACAAGGCGAGCTTGGACAGACAAGTAGCATTTGATATCGAACGAGAAAAGATAGCCATGAAAAAAGAAGAGATGAATGGAAAATTATAATAAAATATTTGAATTCCATTGCTGATCCAAACGTGCGTGAGTACGTTCGAGCTCAACAGATTTAAAATAATACAAAAAAGAAATCAACAAGAACAAGGGTCTGCAATTATTTCAATGATATTGGGCATTCTGGATCCGATCTACCAGATTATTGAGAGTTGCTTGTCCATCTTATGTAATGTTATATGTTTAGTTTGTATTTTATGTTTTATTTTAATAAAGTTTTATATTATGTGTGTCAGTTTTTATATGTTATGTATTTCAGATATGTAATTTATATTTGAATTATGTATTGGGATTGCTCTTTATATTTCATAGGACTTTACTTATAATGTCTAGATTTTAATATTATAATTAATAATAATGTTTTTTAAATTTTAGCATTATTTTTATTTTTAAAAAATAATTTATTTTGTCCAAATTATATAATTGGGGTAAAATTATAAAATTTAAATATAATTGGGGTTGTTTTATAAATTTAATAAAACAAATGGGATCAAATTGTAAATACATCAAATTAAGAGGTAAAAAGTAAAAATAAAAAAAATAAAAAAACAGTAATGCGGTGATGAACAGTGCGACGCCAAATTTAGCGTCGTGCTGTTCATCACCATTAAAATGCGGCAAGATTTGCCGCTGGGTTGGAGCGGAAACGCAGCTGCAAATGCACTTTTCACTGCATTTTGCCGCTGCGTTGTAGATGGTCTTAGGTGGCACAACCTTGGTCCAATACATTGTTTTTAGTTTGGCGAAACTTGGGCCTAAATTGAACTAGCTCTTTCTAGTTCAAATCTAGCCGCTAAACTAGATCTTTTGTGGACCAACCTTTATATGGTTCAACTTTGGCCTAGTTAAAGATAAAAACTAGTCTAGCCCAATTCTATTTTGAAGTTGCCAAACAAACCCTTGGTTTTTTGGCTTGGAGGGGTGAGGTTCAGATCTTAATTGATAACTGATCACTATGACAGTCATATTTGGTCTAGGTATTTGGCCTAATACCATCAACTTGTCAACGTCTGTTTGACTTTCTGTGGTTCTTTTCCATATAAACTCTCATAATCCACATGTTGTGCCATCCTTTGTTTAACCTTGTGATGCTATTGACAGTCATTTTAGATGTTTTAAAGGACATACCTTTTAAGCAGTTTAGGTGGTTTTGTCAAATATCTCTTGACCATTTTTGGCAGTTATCATGGCAATTGCATTCATCTGTGGAGAAATTATTACATCTTCTATATAGAACATAGATGTTGGAAGGAAAAAGAAAAGATGAAGTGTAGCTGATTGTTGCTAAAGGAGGAACAAAATCCAAGCAAACAGCAGCCATGTTAGTCTACAAAAATTTAAGATCCTTCTAGATTTGTCATTGTCATGGTAGATTTCCTAATCTCTAAGAAAGTGACTTTGGAGATGCTTTGCCTTTATTCGTAACTTCTTTGCTAACTTGGGCGGTTTGCTTGTTCAGTTGTGAAGTAGGTGTCATTGATTCAGGGAAGGCTTTCATGTCTCAACATGTGTGTAGGGATTCTTTTCCCTATAGGAGTCTGGAACTCAATTTTTCTTCACAAATCTTCCGCCTTTCTTCTTTCTAATGCTTCGTTATGCCATGCTTAACTTTGAGAAATGCTAATATTTCATGCTTTCACGCCTTCTTCCTCAACTAGAAACCTCGATACTGTGCACTTAGTAATCACATTCTAAAAGGAGAGTATAGGAAAATTGTGTCAAACCGATGATGATGATGTTATTTTGTGGATTCGAAGTTTGCTGTAGAAGCTATTTAATTTAGGTTGCGTGCGTAATGGGATCTTCTTTTCATTAAATCAGTACTGGTTTCAAACGGAATATTATCTTATTTAATTTAGTTATTAATTTTGTAATCTCTTCTAATGCACAAGTTTCAGTCTGTTGATTTCGTGCACAATTTCTGCTTGTTTAACCTCTACTCAATGGTTTGTCTGCAAGTTATATCTTAATGTTTCATCTTCTCTACTGTGACCTTTAGCCATCATATTATGTACACTTGTCTTCTAACTAAGAATTCCATAACTTCTTACTCACCCTCTCAGCAAATGTATAACATATTTATTCTACATTTATTATGCCTATTTGTTCAGGACTCACTATGATGTGAATCTTATACGCTACCATATTTAATACTGTGCTTTTGTCAAGCTAGTGAATCTTTCTGCAGGACACATACACTCTCTTATATTAGCTAATTTTGCAGAGAGAACAAAAACTTGACTGGAACAGCAAGATATGCCAGCATGAACACACATCTTGGCATTGGTATGTCTCATGTATTTGTGCATTATTAAGATAAGCTGTCTAAGTGCTTTGTTATTACTTTTGAACCTTTTCTTTTCATTCTTTTTGTAATCTATACAAAATGCTTATTCTGCCTGATGTGGGTTACTGATCACTGTTTCTTGTTTAATTGCCAAGAACAAAGCAGGAGAGATGATTTAGAATCTCTTGGATATGTTCTCATGTATTTCTTGAGAGGAAGGTATGACTTTCTTCTTGATGTTAGTGATTCATTCTTCAGACTTATTCAATGATTTTACATTTTTTGTTTCCTTTTCAGCCTTCCATGGCAAGGTCTGAAAGCAGGAACCAAAAAACAGAAGTACGAAAAGATCAGTGAAAGAAAAGTATCCACACCTATTGAGGTAAAATAATCGAATATATTGAACTTGTGATGGTTTTCATCATGCAGTTATCTTTGAGAAATCAACTTTGATGACAATGTGGGAGACTGTTTATACTTTTCAGGCCTTGTGTCGTGGTTATCCTTCAGAATTTGCATCTTATTTTCACTACTGTCGTTCACTGAGATTTGATGATAAGCCAGATTATGCCTATCTTAAGAGATTGTTCAGAGATCTATTTATCCGTGAAGGTTAGCTAATGTCTTCCCCTATATATACATTTATTGGAAGTGAATTTTTTTTCAGAAGCTTGGGACTTGAGGGACTGTTTGCTATGCAGAAGTACAAACTGCAACTGTATTTGCAACATGCAAAAGACAATTACAGTTGCAAGTATAGCTGTTTGTTTTGAGGCGACTGCACAACTGTATTTGCAACATGCAAAAGACAATTACAGTTGCAAGTATAGCTGTTTGTTTTGAGGCGACTGCAACTTTTTTTACAATTGCAGTTATAAAAAATTACAGTTGCAAGTATAGCTGTTTGTTTTGAGGCGACTGCAACTTTTTTTACAATTGCAGTTATAAAAGGACTTAATTTTTGTGCAAAATTGACTTGCTACCAAATTAATCTCATGTACTTTTTGCAAAAAGTAAACTTAATTTTGCAACTGTAGTGGGGAAAAGGTTGTAACTGCAAATAAACTGCTGCACTGCAACTGTTCTAACAATACCAATTTTTTGCAATCCAACCCCTTGATGTAACTACCATTGGTGTTGCTTAAAGATCTGCGATTGCATTTTGATAGTAACCATTCCCTTTGTTTCAGGGTTCCAGTTTGATTATGTTTTTGACTGGACAATATTGAAGTATCAGCAGTCGCAGATTGCAAGTGCCCCTCCTCGCGCTCTTGTGAGTTATATATAGACTGGCTGGGACCTTTTCTAAGTTATCTTATATACTTGACCTATTTTATTTTTTTCTTTTGTCATTTTAGGGTCCTGGTGTTGGCCCTAGCTCTGCAATGACCCCTGCCATTGCTAATGCTGATCGACAGTCGGGTATTTGTTTTTAATTTTAGGCTTTTGACACATTCTAAAGTCTTCATCTATTACTATTAGCTAAAAGAAACTAGCTTTTTGGTCATGTGAGTCACACTCTTGAAAACCCAAGAAATGCCCGCACAACTTCACATTTTAAAACTCATGGAAGGGGAAGCTTGAAAAATCCACCAAAAAAACCCAAATATGCATGCGGTGGGTGCAGAAGACTAGTAATTAGTACATAATAATTTCAAATGAAACATAATGCAATTATTCTCCTATTTTTATGATGCAACTTTTAATCTGCACTGCAGCTACACTATACCTTTTAGATATATATCTTCATTTGCTCCCATTTGTCATTTGCTTGATTACCATCACACATTTTTTTCATTGTCATCTTATATTTTTGTTAGCTTAAGATACTAGGTCATAAACCCAGAGAGGATCATGAAGCTGCCAACTTTTTATTCTTTTAGATTTTTCATTCAAGAGTCATTTTTTTATTATGTATTGCTGAGATATAATATAACCTGAAAGCCTGTTCCCATTATTTTCATTTATGACCTTGATTTTTCAGGCCAGAAAAGCATATCCTTATGAGATTGATATCTTCTGTTGTACATTTTCCATTTCCTATCAGTGCCAATGGTAATGTTTTCTTCCTTTTAACTTTATTCCAGGTGGTGAAGAAGGAAGGACAAGTGGTTGGTCAGGAGCTGATCCCTCCCGTAGACGTGTTTCTGCACCAGCTATTAATGCTGGTAGCTTATCAAAGCAGAAGAGTCCAGTGGGAAATGATTCATCAGTTGCCAGAGATGCTATGGTGAGCTGGTTTTTTTCTCTTTCATTACTTATTGATGTTTTATCTATCTCAGTCACATAATATTCAACAATAGCTCGCTCTTAGGGAATACACTGTTCTGGAAAATGGACGAGCTCCCAAAAATACACAACAAATCATCTAAGCTCTGTGCTACTTGTAAATTGTTTGTAGACATATATGCTATAAAATGCCATCAAGTTCTGACACTTGAGTCAGTTGAAACGCATGGGAAAATGTTAAAATTATATTGATTTGACACCCTTTCAACTATTGATCCAACATATCTTGGTCATTTCTTTATGAATTTTAAGACATCTTTCGGAGGGTTGAACAACATATTAATTTTCATTTGGCTGAAAATGCTAGTTGTGACAAACTTTTCTGCATACCTATCGTTCCTATAATGTTTTTGTTGTATGCGTGAACATGTTGGGAGCCTTAATCTAGCTATATTAAATTTCACAAAAATAACAATGAACCTAGATTGCATGGATATGGGTACCGGTATGAGGACGGGTATTGGTACGGGGCACAACAAATTTGTGAAGTGTTGGGTATGGGACATAACTACATGTATATATTGAAATTAATAATTTACATAAGGTTAATTTTATTTTTTAATTAATGTGCTATTTGGACTTAATTCCTATCATAATTTTAACTTTCTTTTATTATGTTTATTATTATAAATTGAAAACTATGGGTTTTTAACTAGACAATCAAACCACCCTTCTAAATCGTAGTATTTGGTTACGGACCGAAACAAGCCTGATCCATGTCTAACGAGTTTCAAGAAATGGACATGAAGTGTAGCATACACGTCCATGAAGTGTATGACAATTGTTTTAAATTAAAACATATATATAATCAGACTATTGCGTACATGTCTGAATAAATACATACATATACCCGACAAGTGTCCATGGAAGTCGGGTACGGGGACATCTCGGGTACGTGTCTGGTATGGGTACGACTTCATGATATAAGTACCCAGGTAACACAACGATGAACTATTAGGGGTAAATTACCCTAAACTATTTTTCTTAGAGAAAACTGCCAAAATCAATTTTCCCTAAGCTACCATAGTACCATGACTAACTGCCGTTATTGAAAGTTTGTACTTGACACTTTTCTGATATTTTTACCCTTATTTAGGTTTTTGGATGTTGGACTTGAGAAGTTAGAAATAGGGTATGTTAGACCTTTTAGCTGTGCGTTAACATCATTAAAGGGTTGGTTTCCTGCTAATTTTAGAGTTTGCTTTAGTATGAAAATAGTTTAGTTTAGTTTCTTGCAAAGTTCCTATTAGTCAAGCCATTTTGTGAAATTTATCCTCACAATGGGTGGATGCAAGAATATATCACATGGTCATGATCATAAAATTGTCTACCTCCATGTTTAATTGGTTCTAGCATTCTTCATGGCAGCTTACCTGGTGGCAGTTAAATTTGGTTTGTTGAACCAACATGAGCACTAATGAGATTATATAATTTGATAATGTATGCTCTTGTACACTGTCTGCTATTCTTAAATGATCCCAGAAGCATTATTGTCCTTGCCATTTCCAAGTGGGTGATAGACAGTGGAGAATTATTTATCATATCTACTGGTTGGATACTAGATTAATTCTCTGTTTGCAGTTTGTAGCATGCGTCCTGAATTATCACTAGACAGAATAGTTTTTTAGATGGCTGGATGCAAGCTGAATTCCTTCAATTATGCAAATTAACCCCTGTAGTATTGTTGTTTTGCACTTCCTTACCCATGTAGTTTCATTGTTTCAGGAAGACCCCCTGGGTTTTTCTTTTGACTCTTTACCTGTGGTGAAACTTTAGCAGATAACTGCCGCTGGGTGAGAATAGTGTCTTTCTGAGGGTAAAAAAGTCAAAAAAAGGAAAAAAAACTAAGGTAGCAAGTAAAAAAGGAAAAAAAAAAACTAGGGTAGTAAGTGCAAAACCCTGACCCCTGAGTCAATTTCTTTGACCCTTGGTGAAATTTTGGTAGATATTTCCCCTGCATGAAATTACTGTTAATCTGAGTGTAAAAGAGCCAACCCCCGTGTGGCAGCCAACCGGTGGGGACACCCTACAACAATGGAACTGAAAGGGTAGCCAGTGCAACATAATGTTACTACAATGGGTCTATATGCAATTAACCCATAAAAAATTTTACTTAAAAACACAATACACTGTTGTTTTTTCACTTTGCCATTCCTGACCATGGGTACATTATCCGATGTAGTTATCCAGTTCAGCTTTTTTGGGCCGGTCAAGCGGTTCCTCAAGGCGAGCTGCTGTTTCTAGCAGCCGAGACGCAATGATGAGTGAGACTGAACTCTCTCGCCCTCGCACCTCAGAAGCAAGCCCTGGGACTTTCCATAAACTCTCGAGCGCTCAGAGAAGTTCGCCTGCTGTATCTGGAGAGCAACACAGGCATTCTTCATCTGGAAGGCTTCCATCAACTAAGAACTATGAGTCCACCCTCAAAGGCATCGAGTCTCTTAATTTCGACAACAATGAGAAGCTTCACTACTAAGATACACCAAATGCTTTCTTCACTTTGTAAAAAGAATATTACACAAAAACTGAAGGGGTATGAGTTATGAAGCTTATTAATGTGTGCCAAGTTGTGTCCCATGATTTACATGTTTTGAGTTTTTCGTTTTGGGACCACTGTAATTTGATTCTTTTTTCTTCTATTTGTTTTATGAAAGCCATGTCGGTGATTGTAATGCAAATAATTTATGCAACAAAGTGGCTTTTGATATGGTCGTTGTGGAATTGTGGGTGTGCTCGGTTTAAATGAAGAAAACGTTTTATGTGTTTGCACTTGTTTCTTTTCTGAGGCATATTGCATTTTTCTTTCCTGTTTTCGTGTTTCCTTCTGTTTTTTGAGGAAATTGGTGCTGCTATGTATACCCACAGTTAATGTTGATCTTTTTCTACTGTTTTTGTGTTTTCATTTCATATTCACACCACAAAATAATGTGAGGTTGTATGTTTTTAGAGTAATCATTCTATTTTGAATATGTCTATAAGCAGGATTATCTGAAAAATAATCCTAGTTGTTATTTGAACTCTTGCCTCTTACAAGCACCTGATGGACACACAATATGCATGATTCACAAACCTTTGTTATGTACGCTTTTAACAGACAGAACAGTGGAGCAAAATTAAACTAAGATTCTGTTGAATATACAGTCTTAGATTAACTACCATTGAGAAACAAACTTCTTGTCACGAAGAGAATATACACTTATTGGTTCGTTTCTGCGCTCGCGAACGAGGTATTTCTGGATACCTGAGACCCTGGTGATCTCACATCATTATCCGACTGCAACGCGTTCCCTGCTTCTTCATCATCGTCGTTCTGCATTTTACACTTTTCACCAAGAATTATTGTCTTTTTCCATAGAGACTCCTCTGCTCCCCCTTTCGAATGATGACCTTCCTTCTTTGTTTTGATTCTTGATATCCCTTCTTTAATCCCGGTACTCAAACTCACCGACAACCTCCTCTTCGATGTAGATCCTACAGAAGCATTTGTTGTAGGGTATATGGGGCCATGTATTGCTGCATCGAGTTCTGTTATTCTCTCTTCTGGCGTTGGAGGAATGTATTCTTCAGGTTCTCGTTGAGGCGTTGTTGCGGGACTATTTGTAAGACCGGTGAGGGATTGAGATTTTGGTGAGGTGGTTGTTGGTTTTTTATGGCAAGAAGCGCAGAGAGTGGCGAGGATTGCGATGGAGGCTGCGAGCCAAGCGACGAGGAGGGAGATGGAGAGAGTAGGATGCAGGATGAGGGTTGATTCAGATGAAGGCATCCTTCTGGCCATTTTTTAAAATGGTAGAAGGAAAAAAGAAAATGTGTTTACAGGTGAAGCCTGATTTTCATGATTTTTTTTGGCCAAAAAGAGTTTAAATTTTGGATTGTGTATTGGGATTTTTGGCTTGGTGCAGGTATGACGAGGGGGTGGAGGAGAGAGCAAGATGGAGAATTTGTTGGTTGTATAATAACTGAAATTTACTAAAGTTAGCTGTTTGGCTTCTCAATGCAAATATGACAATGGAAGATACAAATTCAAAAAATTTGACACTATGATTAAATATAATTTATGTTTAAATGTAGCTCTAGGAGACTACGGAGAAATGAAGGGTTTGTGAATTTGCCTCGCAATCAAGAACATAAGAAATATTGACAAAATACAGTGAGGAATACTATATTTACGTAATACTAGTATGGTGCTTGTGAGATGCACGTGTACCTATTTCCAATGTAGGGCATACGTTGCATTATAATGATAATTTTCTCTATGTGCAAAATACCCATGTAATTTATCATTATAACTTATATCAAATATTCTAAATTGCACTTAAATACTCTATAGTTTCACTTAAATACTCTATAGTTTCATCTAAATTGCACTTAAATGCTCCAAGTTGTAAATGCACGAACATAAATATTCCAAATTATTTTCTGTTGAAAAGCACATACACCGTTATATTTTTTCTAGAAGACAAAAATACCCCCTTCCACTCCGCTTTTAACAATCCATCAGTAGTTAAAAAAAGGGTTTTTTGTCTTCTAACCCAAAGTTTAACCCAACTTATTTAAAAACCCACAAACTTTTATGAACACTTATAAACCCATTGTACCCCAAACCATTTATTTTTAAACTTAATCGGCACAATACCCTCAATCCTTATACTATATTTCCCCAATAAATACAAACTTCTAAAAAATTAACCTTCTTCCCCAGATAAACCTATCTCTATCCTTTTTTTCCTCATTCGTTTCACAAAATCAAAATCTAGGAGCGACCGACATGAATTCTTTCAGACTATCATCTCCTCCACTCCCTAGACTCTCTTCTGGAGCAAAATACCTTTCGGCTTTATCATGCGTCGAGGCAGAGCTCTAATTCTGGTATACAAGCCATAGTAGCAGCCATAGCAAGCAAACAGTTCCCAGGACATCTCACGAGACAAACAAGCTAGCATTTATGGCTATTTGCACCATCGATCGTCCCAAAACAAGGAACACTTCAATTTATTAAATAGGTTTAGATATAGGAATCCAAGCGTATATGGATACATTCTCAAGACATGGTGACCAACTAGAGTATTAATGCACCAAGTTAATCCGCACCGAAGCTCAAGAAACTGAATCCTACTTCTGAAACATAGTACATCCCGAAAACGGGAAGTGTTCTCAGGGGGCGAAGAGAAAATTTTCAATAAATTAGCGGGGACGGAAAGTTTTCTACATTTACTACCTTCTGATGGACCAAAGTCTAATATAAAGTAACATTATATCTTTTTTATCAGCTCCACTTGGATCTGAGATCAATTATTTAAAGTAATCTGCTCTGCAGAAATCAGATTGTTTTATAAATCTTATAAACTGAATTCATGGATATTCTACTTTACATGGTAAATGAGAGGGAGGAAAGGAGAATGAATAATAGAAAAAGAAAAACGAAAATTATGCTATTGCAGTCATGATATACTATATAACTCCCTGACCACACTCAGTAGTCTCACAAAGGTTTAATTAAATCACTTTTACTCTCTTAAAACTCATCAAAAGTTCGCTTGATATCAATGATCCTAACAGGGGAGAGTGGAACTACTGGTTTTAATTGGGTGTAATATGAAAATCATTAATGTATCTATAGTTAAAAAGGAATTCTGCTTGTGGACTTTGTTTTGATGAAGCACAAGTTTTGACATGTGTTCCCCGTTGGTCAACTATCCTTCTTTAATAGTGAGCGGGGGCTGTGTTTTTAACTAATTGGTTATTGATCAATTCTAATATATAACCCAAATTTTGAAAATTTCCCCTGCAGGTAGATGCATCAATACAATAAACAGTTGACTTGATGTTAGTCTGTACGGTCTTAATCCCCCTCAAAACAAGCACTAAGATCTGAACTCTCGTTTAAGCTAGTCCGAACGTTACAAACAATTATTTATTAGTACTATATTCCGAAGTTTACAATACCCTGTAGTTAAGGATAAAAAATAGGGGTTTTTATCTTTTACCCCAAAGTTTTACCCCAACATATTTAAAAACCCACCAACTTTTATGAACACTTATAAACCCAATATACCCCCAAACCACTTATTTTTAAACTCAATCCGTACAATACCCTCAATCCTTATACTATATTTTCCCAATAAATACAAAATTCCAAAATTAACATTCTTCCCCAAATAAACCTCTCTCTCTCCTTTTTCCTTTCATTCGTTTCACAAAGTGAAAATCTAGGAGCGACCAACATGAATTCTTTCAGAATCTCATCTCCCACACTCCTTAGACTCCCTCCCAGTGCAAAATACCCTTCGGCTTTATCATGCATCGAGGCGGAGCTCAGGCAGTGGTGGCGAAAGAGGGGGTACGTGGGAATGGGTCAGTCTCTAACATGCGCTCGGTCAAGTGACGAGCACGAATTCTTCAGAGCTGTTCAAACTGGAGACTTGGAGACAATAACGTCTTTTCTCTCCACTGAGGCCCAAATGCTCCGGCGAACCACCGTCTTTGACCGCCTCTTCGCCAAAATATAGCTCTTTATGACTATAGTATAGCTCTTTACTGATAAAACATAGCTCTTTATGGTCTCTGGAAATTTTGGAACTTAGTAGAATAAATCAAATCAGTTTTTTTCTGAGAAATGTAAACATGTGATGATGTATACAATGCGCTGTTTGATCAATTATACATATCGACGAGATGTTCACTCTCAATTTTTCAGTTTTTGAAAAAGTATAACTCTTTATACTAATGGGTAGTACCTTATCATAAAAGTATAGCTCTTTATGCCACAATATAGCTCTTTATGACCGTAGTATAGCTCTTTACGATAAATTATAGCTCTTTATGGCATCTGAAAATTCTGAAACTTAGTAGAATAAATCAATTCGGTTTTTCTGAGTAATGTAAATGTTTGATGGTGCATACAATGTGTTGTTTGATCAATTATTCATGTCGATGAGATGTCCACTCTTAATTTTCCAATTTTTAAAAAAGTATAGTTTTTTGTAGTATAGCGTAGCACCTTATCATGAAAATATAGCTTTTTATGCCAAAATATAGCTCTTTATAACCATAGTATAGCTCCTTACTGATAAAGTATAGCACTTTATGGTCTCTGAAAATTCTGAAACTTAGTGGAATAAATCAAATTAGTTTTTTTCTGAGCAATGTAAACATGTGATGACCTAGACAATGTGTTGTTTGATCAATTATTTATGTTGATGATAGGTCCACTCTCAATTTTCCAGTTTTTAGAAAAGTATAGTTTTTTATATTAAAGTGTAACATCTTATCATGAAAGTATAGCTCTTTATGCCAAAGTGTAGCTCTTTATGACCATAGTATAGTTCTTTAATAATAAAGTATAACTTTTTATGGTCTCTAGAAATTCTAAAACTTAGTGGAATATATCAAATTAGTTTTTTTTGTGTGCAATATAAATGTGAGATGATGTATACAATGTGTTATTTGATTAATTATTCATGTCGACAAGAGGTCCACTCTCAATTTTTTAGTTTTTAGGAAAGTTCAGCTCTTTATAGTAAAGTGTAGCATATTATCATGAAAGTATAACTTTTAATGTCAAAATATAGTTCTTTATGACCATAGTATAACTCTTTACTAATAAAGTATATCTTTTTATGATCTCTGAAAATTCTAAAACTTAGTGTAATAAATCAAATTATTTTTTCAGAGCAATGTAATGGGTGATGCTGTATACAATGTATCGTTTGATTAATTATTCATTTAGTTTTTGGAACAATACAACTATTTACAATAAAGTCTAGCATCTT